TCAGGGCAAGTGGGAAGAGCAATTGCCCTTAGCAGAATTCGCATATAATAATAGTTTTCAGTAGAGCATCGGAATGGCGCCATTTGAAGCGCTATATGGCAGAGCATGTAGAATGCCCATGTGTTGGGATGAAGTTGGAGAAATGAGTATAACCGGGCAATAATTAGTTCAACAGTCAGTTGAGGCTGTTAAGGTAATTCGTGAAAGGCTGAAAACAGCTCAAAGCCGTCAAAAGAGTTATGCAGACAGAAGGCGAAGACCTTTGGAATTTCAAGTAGGGGATCACGTATTCCTCAAGGTATCGCCCATGAGAGGATTGTCCCGATTTGGTAAGAAAGGGAAGTTGAGTCCGAGATACGTGGGACCTTTTGAGGTTTTGGAAAGGATTGGAGACTTAGCTTATCGCCTTGCACTCCCGCCAAATTTGTCGCAAGTGCATAACGTGTTCCACGTATCGATGCTGAGAAAATATGAACCGGACCCAACTCACGTGTTGAATTACGAAGAGATAGAAGTTGACGACAGGGTGTCGTATGTCGAGAGACCAATAAGGATCGAAGATCGGAAAGAACTAGTTCTAAGGAACAAAACGATCCCGATGGTCAAAGTTGTTTAGGAACATCACGGGATAGAAGGCACGACGTGGGAAAGTGAAGAGCTAATGTAACGTCAATACCCCCACTTGTTTGAGTAGTAGGTTGAATTGTAAATTTCGAGGACGAAATTTTTATAAGGGGGGAAGAGTTGTGACATTCTGAAAATCCGACCCACTTGGGATTTATGAAATGGATGATTTATGGACGTGCTTGTAGTTAGATCTCGCCCGGAACTGATCACTCCTGGGATACTAACCGATAGGAAATGGCTAATTAGGGATTTAAATTCGCGCGACCAAAGAAACTCGATCGTGAACCTATTTTCGGCCATAAAAAAATTGTCGAGGTGGCATTTTGAGCCAATGTAAGCCGATCCAAGGATAGTTAGAGATCAGTTCGCCGCTGTCACATTAGTGGATCGTGGGTGATTCCGCTGGATCACGAGATGAGTTGACGAATGACCCCAAACCTATACCAAACGATCGTACCCGTCGGAACTAGCAATCGATCCTCGCGATTAAGTGACAACCGAGGTCGTCACGATCCGAGTGAACTTAAACGTGACTTGATTCAGTATCGGCCACGGGTTGAATGTACGAATTTCCCCAAAAGCCACCCGTTAGTTCAAGATACGCTCAAGTTACGTTAATTAAATTTAGTGGTTAATTAGAGACCAAGTTTAGGTATCGGAAATTATGAATGTCACGACAGGATAATTGGACGACGTTGTTATTGACTTAGTCAGCCTTAGATTTGTCCGGATTCTTCAGAAAATTCGAATTTTGGCGAGAAATGAAAAATGACCGTTTTACCCCTGGGATTTTGTTAAGGCCAAGTATAATGGGGGAGGGGCATTTTGGTCATTTCGCACTAGCTTTAGAAATAGAAATTTTTGGACAATTTTTCCCTTGGGAATTTTGTGAAATTTTAATTTTGCCCATAGATATTTTTGGCAAGGATTAATCTGGACCGTCGATCTTAAGATAAGATCGAATCTTGGCCGTTGATTGGAAATTAGAGAGAGGGGTATGATGGTCATTTGGCATGTGTATTAGACATCAATAATTGACCTTTAGCCTATTTAATTCCATTTTCTCTCTCTACCCCTCATTCTCTCTCTCTCCCTCTTTCCTCCCGCCGGACCTCATTCCCCACCCACCGTGATCGCGGCTGCCGCTTAGTGGCCGCCGCCGCCATCCACCTCGCCTAGCCGGGAGCAGCCGCACGCCGAAGCCACCGCTGCTCGTCTCACCGTCTCTCTCTCTCTCTCTCTCTCTCTCTCTCTCTCTCTCTCTCTCTCCTGTTTTCCCCCTCATCGAACGCCACCACCCATTGCCCCCGGTTCGGCTGTCCCGGCCGTGGAAGATCAGCCACCGTCCGGCCACCGCAGTCCGTCCGAGCCGGCTCACCGTCGCCTATCCGCTCGTTTGGGTGACCGCCGCCAGCCGTTCCTCCCCTTCAGCCGAGCTAGCCTAGGTTTCCAAGTAAGTAGCATCCTAAACCTTTTTTAGGATATCGGGTACCGACGGACGTAATTAGGGGCTGAATCGGGTTAAATTGTGACGGTTTAGGGGTTAATTAGTGGCCGTTTAGGGGTTATATTAGTAGACTGATTTGAGGACTTGAATTGGCTGAATTGTGGGTGAATTTGTGATGTTTCGGGATTGATTTGATGTGGAGTTGAGTGCTGGAAATTGGGGTGTGAAATGAGGAGCATATGGTTCGATTTAGGGACTAATTGTATCGGTTTGGTGTGTTGTGTTGTGGCTGGTTTGTGGTAATTGTTATGGCTAGAAATAGACTTGGAAATGCTGAATTTATGTTCACGATAGTGGCTATGATTGTGGGCCCGATGGCGGCCATGTATGTTTGTTGAATTGTGAATTGATTGATTAAAATGTGGACCGTTATATGCACGCATGAGCTGAATTGATTTGACTGGCAATTGGCCATGATTGGGCGTTAATTGAGCATGTGAAATACGTAAGGTTCGATGTGTGCGTGGGCCGAAGTTGAACGGCTGGTAATTTGGCATGTTGATGTGTAAATCGAGCAAGTGCATGAATGAGAAATTGTGTGAGATGTTGTGCGTGTGGTCGCGAAAGTCCCTGAGAAGGTACTATGACGCGGGGAATTATGCCATCTTGAGGCGGTACATTAACGCGGGACGATACCCAGTATTATCGGAAGATTGCAAACCTGAGGTGTGTACTTCAATGCGGGTTGTGCCGTAGGTGGTAGATGTTGAGCCTGAGGCGGTACTATTACGCGGGCAAGATACATAGCCTGAGGCGGTACCATAACGCGGGCTAAGAAGTGTTGTGAAAATGAGATGGTCATGTGGACCGTGAATTGACAGTGGACTTGAGGTGGTACTGTTACGCGGGTCGCTGGCAAGTGGAATGAAAATAGTGTGGTGAGACATGAACAAGTGTGTGAAATGTGGAAATGAAATGCCATGTGTTCAACTTGTGTATTAGGCATGAAATGTATTTGGAATGTGCATGTGGTTGGAAATTTTATATTTGAGACTAACTTGCAGACCGCGAGCATTAAAAGCCCAGGTAAGTGCAATTGTGTGCCTGTGGTGTGTTTATTGAGTGTTATGATGTTTGAATTTGTTTGGAGGTACGTGTTAGCCTAGGTGGGGTTTAGGGTGTATACTTGCTGAGAAGTGTTCTCATGGTTGTTTCAACCAAAGAATTTCAAAACCCCGGCCTGAACCATGAATCTTCCACCGCCGCCGTCGCAGCGTTTTGGGATTCCGATGCACACCGACCATAATATTGTAGAATATCCTATAGATGAGAATATGACCTGGATCAAGCATACTACGGTAGTCTGGGTAGACATAGGGCAACCTCTTTGGCAGGCCCACACCTATACCGCCTAGATGTTTAGGGACGGGATGGATGAGTTTGGCCCCGTCCGTGGCTTTGATGTTCCGTTTGACGGAGTAGGGGATTGGGACCCGTCAGCCATACCCCCTCCTGACGGTGAGATGACTAGTCTGGATACTAGTCTTGCCCAGTCCGAACATCAGCCTGCGCCTGCAGCAGCACCTGAACCTTCAGTGGCTGAGCCTGATCCTGGAGCCAGAGGAATCACAGGCAGGGTATGATCCTATGGAAGTGGATCTAGGTGTAATACCAGAGGAGGAACCAGGAGAAGAAGACCCTGAAGAAGAACTTGAAGAGGCACTAGAAGAAGAACCCGAAGACGAGCTAGAAGAAGACCCAGAGGACGAACCAGAGGATGAGCTAGAGAATGAGCCAGAGGAAGAGTCGGAATAGGAGTCTGATGAGGAAGAGCGGATTGAGGTTCCGGTAGAGTCGGGCGATGAGGACAACCCGATTAAGATCGGGGCAGACTCTGAGTCCTCAGAAGAACAGGCAACTAGGGGGATTCAGACTCGGGTTTTGGAGAGTCAGACTCGGAGTGGACGCCATCCGGGAGCGTAGGGGTTAGTTTAGGGGTTAAGTAAGGGTTTTGAAGTGTTCCATTTTTGGAGTAGGGTTTATCAGGCTACTGATCCTTTTTGATATCGGTAGTGTGTAATTTAGAAGTTCGGTGTGCATGTATATTATGTGGTTTGTAAATGGCGGATATTGTATCAGTTTGTAATGGTAATGGATGTACATTCTTCCCTTTACCCCAGTTAAATATTGTCCGGGTGTTTGTGGCTTTCGCTAGTGCTTTATATCTGATGTGTGGGGTCGGCGATTTCCTGGGGCGTTGCGATATTCGACCATAGAGGTATGTCACGGGCTCGATGGGGTTCGGGGAGTGACATCAAGCGTAAATCTTGTGATAAGATTTGTGTATAATTCCTTCGTGATAATGAGAAATTATTTCGTGAAGAATTATGGAGCTAAACACTGCATGCGTTATTGGGTTTAATTGGGGCTTGGGAAACACCGAGAGTATATGAGTGACTCGAGTGTGGTTGTAATCTCTATTGTATCGCTTGATCTATAATGTAATTCCGTGTTACTCTCCCCGTGGACGTAGATCACTACGATAGAACCACGTAAATCTGGTATCCGATTTATTTTCTTGTTCTGTCAATTTTATTGTTCGATCGCTTGGCTTCCGCAACAAGAACAATAGCACTTTCTTAATAAACTTAAAACATTCATTCGCCATTAATTCGACAGATTAAGACGTGACACTTTGAATTTTTATTTCAGTGTCTAGTTTTCAATTAGATGACAAATGTTGAAGATATCAGTCATTGCAAAAAGGACGTGCTATATGTCTCAAAAAATCAGAGGAAAGTATTACAGAAATATCATAAAATGTAAGTGAAGAGGAACATATATAGTTTAGGAAGAGATAAACACAGAAGCTAAACTTACCTTACCAAAAAAAAACACAGAAGCTAAACTTGTTATTGAAGGTAAAAGGCAATGGTGATGATGTATCATTGACATGCCAGTCATGGAGCAATCCCCAGAGGAGAAGGAGAAGGAGAAGGAGAAGGAGGGAAAGAGTAGTACGGAGTTGAGTCACACTCACTTTGACTCCAACTACTCCTTGTACTAGGGTCCCGCTGAAGAAACTGGCTTTCGAGCATTCGAACCACTTCAGACATCTCCGGTCGAGTAGATGGATCCTCGTCTGAGCACAACGATGCCAATTGGAGTAGTCCCTTTGCTTCTTCTTCCACGTAGTTCCCCTGCAAATTGGGATCGATCACCCTTTCCAACTCATCATTGTACATAAAATCACCAATCAATGGGTCAAAAGTGAGATTTTCATTATCCGCCAACCCATCAGGTTCTATTGGCTGTCCCGAGATGAGCTCGAGAAGCATTCTCCCGTATGCGAAGACATCATTCTTCAGTGTGCACTTTCCTGTGTAGAAGTACTCAGGGGCGATAAACCCAAAAGTGCCGCAGCGACGGGTGTCAACATAAACATCTTCATAGCGATAATCGGTTTGAAATACCGCGGGAGAGTAGGTTTCATAAAAAAGTTCCCTGAACCGCCTTCGGGAGAACGCCCGCCACTTAATAGTCCCTTCCTTTGCATTTCCCTCGTGCATGATCATGGCATGCGAAAATCCTCCTATCATGGCCTCAAAATGCACATTCAGCAGTATATTTGATGCGCAGATGCCGCGATGCATGATCTTGATGTTACCTTGATTGTGAAGGTGTGCAAGCCCCCTCGCTACTCCCAAGGCTATTTGCTTGCGAGTAGTCCAATCGAGAGGTCGGGCAAACCGATCCGGTCTCTCTCTAAGATTGTAAGATAGGGTGTTGTTGATCATCAAGGGATATACCAGTAAGAGCTCTTTCTTGGTCCTGCAAAAGCCCCTCAGGCATAGCACGTTTGGGTGCATCGAAACCGTGCATCCCACTTGCTTTTCTGCTTCGAAACAATCTTCCGTCCACCGATCGGCATGGCGCCCTCTCTTTACTGCCACTAGCGAACCATCAGCCAAGCACCCCCGATAAACTTTGCGGAGTACAGTTTCCGCCAAGATGTTGCCCCGGCTAAAGTTGTATGTCGCGACTCGGAGCTCCTTTAGAGAGAAGCTTTTAGGAGGTGTTGGATCATCTTCAACGGACTCAGAAAAACTGTAGGTTCGGAGATTGAACACCATCTTTAAGCGGGGAAAAAGTAGATCCTTCTCAAGTACAAATGGATCGTGTAAGCTTGATGATTTTTCTCGATTGGTAATGATTGGGTTGGGAATACCTTCTGCAATTCCGAAGACACTTTGCTTGTACACAGAAGTGTTTATAACTCCAGTTGGGATTGCGCGTCTCACCCGCGGCTGCCTTTGGTCGGTGTGAATGAATGAAATGGTAAGGAAAAGTCGTTGGATTGTAGGCTGATGTCAAAGTGTGGGGCCATCTTACTCCAAAGCCTTCCTGCGATTGTCCTTGTAAACTACTTGCAGATCTACTCTTGGTGTATTGCGATTGTCATAATTGATTTTGTCAAATCTTGTGACTTAAAAACTAATAATGCTCTTGCGCATCCATTAAAAAATATTTTGTGAAGGAGCTTCGAAAGTTCGTGTCACTAATTTATACAAGTACCAGTCCAGTGTCCCATGCTATGCAATGGATCCATGTGGAATCCATTCATTGTTCTTTAAATAGAGTATAAAATATTCACAGCCAAAAATGTTTCGATAGTAAGGTACCAAAAGAATAGTTTGTAAAAAAGTATTTGGAATAGCTATCATGGCTTTATTTAAGGGATGTACACAAAATTTATGATATGTGCATCATTCCCCCATCTTCATTTAACAAAAGTATCTGAAATCCATCTCCCTCGTTGTTAGTGTGGAAATTGCAGCATAAAGGTGTCCATGGCTAAAAACTGGCTTAGGGAGAAATAAGCCAACACAGCTTCAAGTTTGGCCAATGAGACTCAATGGGTGACGTAACTATGCGAGAAATGAGCACTTTGAGTACTAAATTTGTAATATTTGGATTTTTTACCAGGTCAAAAAAAGGGCGTAGCGAAAAAAAAAAGAAAAAAGAAAGCGTTCACACTCGGTCAACAAGCAGAACAGTGGACATTCTGCAATAAAAGGGATCGAGAGCGCATGAGAAACAGAAAGGGAAAGGGGGGGAAAAGTTAAAGAAAGAAGGAAGGAGGAAGAGAGAGGTCAAAGGGAGGAAGGAAACTCACGCGTACACGTCATGAGGACCTTATCAAGCCGAATTTACTCCGATTCTCAACCTAATCCGATGCGTAAGGATTCCAAAGCGTGTACGCGCGAATTCCCTTTTCTCTTCTTTCTTTCATTTTTGCTTTCTGAAGGAACTTTTTGTCTCCTCTGTCTTGTTCTTATCTCTCGGTTGTGTCTCCGTCTTTTCTCTTTTCTTCTCTCCTTCTTTCTTCACAGCTCCTGCAGAATTTGAGAGCCCATTAGGTGGGCTGAGTTTGGGCCCATGGGCTTTGGCCCAATTATAACAGTGACAATTTCCTAGCGTTGTTGCATGAACCCAAAGTCATATTAATGTTTCATAGTCACATAACAAGCATTGCTACTTTGAGCCGCAACTTGCGATCGGAAGATCCTAGAAATTGTAGTGAATTTAGAAACTCCAAGAGATATAGTATATATCTTACGAATGGAATCTGAGCATAACATTACACATCTTCACGTGGAAGGAGATCCATTATGTATGGATTTAGTTCACCCACTGTCTTATTCCTCGGAGTAAGAATATCTCTTTCCTTTAAGTAGCTAGAATCCAAAAACTTCATTTCAAGATCGGGGTATGTAGATCTGGTTATTGCTTCAGGAGGGTTGCCGTTACGTGAAAGAGTTAAGATTATTTCATCCACTTTCTTCGGCTGTTGTCCACTGAGTGCACTGCACTCAAGGGCCTGGTCGACTTTGAGTGCTCTATCCAGAACATTTTCGCAGGTAGTCAGCAAGTGAGAAGAAAGGCTTGAGCCATTCTCTGGTTGGAGCCCTTGCTCGAAGTAATCGGCTTTGTCTTTTTCTTCCCAAAAATGTTCTTTGAAAATTTGCTTAGCCGATTAAAACGAGCTGCATACTCGATAACAACAAGCTCTCTTTCTTTTAGTTTCTCTCTTTGGGCATCTTATTTTATATGTTGAATTGCAAGATCTATTGGATTCTACGTCAATTCACAACAAATTGTATTGCGATACAAGCATATGGAATAATAATCCTACAAATAGAGTTGATTCAATAGGGTCTGGACACAAAAATTTCATACATAAAGGGCCAAGACAGGAGTTTTCTACCACTATCAAGGACAAAGAACAAAAGGAAGACCGAGGAAGAAGATGGATATGAACGAGTCCTTCACAAGAAGAATTCCACACAGTGATTCAAGAAGAAGCAGATGATGGACAGTTCTTTGAAACTTAACTCCATAGAAAATGGTGCATCCTGTGAGGAAACTGCAAAGTCCACCGCGCGTACTAAACTTATCAAGAGAGAATAAAAAAGGGTCAACTCATCTCGTAATTGAAGATGTTGACCCACAAAAGATAAATATGTCTCTAGAGAGTCAAAAGGGCCACCAATTTCTTGCTCCATCTAGAGAAAGAAACCTCCTACTTGTTTATGAACCAAGGTATTGAGGAAAACAATTCAATGGTTTTCTATTATGCGACCTACAAATTTGTTAACATTCTACTCTACTCCATTTCCAGAAGAATCATCATGGGATTTTTTGTTGGGTGCATGTGCATTAGTGCACCTAAACCTATAGTTGGATGGATCCCACATGAAAAGAATGTCGAATTGATTAATTGTAGTGATTAATACCATTAAAATTTCTAAATTAGTACCCATGATACATGTACTGTAAACTAATTATCTTCTCACAAAAATCTCAAACTGGTAATGTCCCTCATCTTTTAAAGCTGGTTGCAATGAGCCAAAGGGATGATTTATGCCAAAGTATTGCTAGAACATCAATAAAGTTGAAACAAATTTGAGATCGGTAAATCTTTAAATTCATTGCAAATAAACTTCAATTTAATAGGAAGCACAATACCCTGCCTAGGCGTTTTTTTTTTTTTAAGATACAAAGGAAATGGACAACCGTGCAATTGAGCGGGTCATTAAAACCTATCACGAGTGCATGATCCGTTTGCACAACACGACATTTAGCACAAGCCTCATTCCCCAACTCGCTGACAGTTTAGTGAGAGCTTGAGAGAGTTGTAAATGCAAAGAACCGAACTATGCACCTCTTAATCATTTGAGGTTAAGGCTAACGATGTCATTGCTCTAGTCATTGCCTCCCCACAATCGGAGAGAATCAAGTAAATTAAGATGAAAAGGAGATTCCTCGGGTCGAAACGTTGCCCAGAATTAGCCGAAATGGCCCGAGTAAGTGTGAATTGTGGAAAGTGTATACCCGATTTGAAAAGTCCCAACTTGAGCCTACAAGAAGTTGATGTGCGATGTTGTTTCGCATTGATGACTCCCATTGTAGTATTTAGATTTAAAAAAAAAGAAAAAGAAAGAAAAGCAAAAGGTTTGAAAAGTCAATAAATAAGCTACAGTGGACTTCAGTTTATAAAAAGGGACAGAGAGCTTGCGGGGAGAAAGGAAAAGAAGGAAAGGAAAGAAAGAGGAAAGAAGAGGAAGAAAGGGAAAGAGAAAGAAGAGGCATTTTGCACTTACTTACCACGGACATCTCATCAAGCCGATTCAATTTCGATTCGCAATGTCTGCTAAGTGCTCACGCCTCTCGTTCGTCCAATCGGAAAAGTTTTATGGGTTAGGGCTCATATTTCGGAGTTATGTGATATTCGAGCGGCGAAATCCGATTTTTGAGTCGTTAAGCTATGAATATATATAAAAATGATAGTTTAGGGTGTTGTGGGGCCGTGAAATTTTACGAAACTCGATTTGGATTTATGGTTTGCCGGATACAATTTTTTGAAGTTATGCATGCGTGGTGAACAGTGCGCGACCAGCGGCTTTTAGGCCGATTTTTGTTGGTTTTCGGCTCGATTTTGGAATGGCCAAGCCAGGGTTCTTGTAGTTTTTTGAATGGGCTTTCTTTTGACTACAAGTTTGCTTGGAATGGGGTTCGGTGGAAAGAGTTATGGCACAATTGAGTTTCGCGCTCAAACTCCGCGTTGCGGACGACTTTGGATAATTGCTTTGGATGAGCGATTTGTGAGTGTCTTTGAATCGTTTTGTTAGCTTCTAAGCCTAGTTTAGCTGAGTCGTAGCTGAGGTAGATTTTTACTCGATTTTAACGTTGTTTCTCGCTTATTTGATAGGATTGCGAGTTCGACGGTTCGAGTAATCTTTGTTATTTAATCGTAAGCATTCCTAGGTGAGTGGTGCTATCTCTTCTATGAATTTATAAACTCATATTTTAAAAGTGATAAAGATTTGAGTATCGTATAAGTTATGAAAGCATGTTTGTTGCATCAAAGTTTGGATCGGGTAATTACTACCATTTTGTATTTGAGAAAGATTTGAGAATGGTTTTACGAAAGATATTGTTAAAGGATATATGTGTATCACTTTGCGAACTTGTTTATGAAATGAGTTCTGAAATGATATGAGAATGCTTTACGAAAAATATTTCTAGTGAATGAGCTGAGTTATGAAAGGTTACGTGTTGGTTTGCGAAATACATTCCATTTATTGAACATGGTAAAAGATTATATGTTTTGGTTTGTGAAATCATTTTCTAAGATTGATTATAAATTGGATTTTTGGTATTGGAGGATGATGATTTGATACTCAATATCGTTGTGAGCCCATTGAAAGGCTTGTGGGTATGCACATACCAGTTTAGGATATCCTTGTCGGCCGAGCCACCGGCTTATAGTAGGTGGAGACCTTACCAATGAGAGAATCTTGGTCGCCTTATTTCGGGTTGAGATGCGTGATCATGGTTTGATATTGAGCAATAGATTGGTCAATGGATAGACCATTGACGTATTTTTCGCTGTGCCAGGGAAAAAAAAAATCCTTGAGAGCGATGGCAGTGCGGCTGCGCCTCTACCCTGAACGAGGCCTTTTATGATGAGATTAATCAATGTAATAGACCATTGATATGTGAGCTATTGAGATTGATCAATGGACTTGATCATTGATGTTTGAATTGAGATGATGATTTAAAATGAGTATTTTTTGAATTGTAAATGAAATAACTCGTATATGATTTGATATGTATATTAAAGAGTTGGATTATGAGTTTCTGGTATTGCTCTAGACTTATACATATCCATAGTGGCTACTCGACCTGTTTAGAAGAGATATGCATTACTTATTAAGCTGTGGTTGCTCGCCTCTCTCTTTCCCAAATCTTTTTAGGTTCCTTGGTTAGTAGCCAATAGAGCGAGAGCGATATCGTGGGGACTTTTGA